AGGGAAAATGGAGTGGCACGCTTCCACAAACATCCACTTTATTGTTATTCGGTGCTAAATATACCGGCGGAGTGGATCCCTCGTAACCAGAACCCCAATATCGAATTCAGGCAATCCAAAAAGAGGAGGATGCACCGGGATATCGCAACGATCGCGGCAAGACGCGCGAGGGCAAAGTAAACTTTACCCGAAACTCCATTCATTTCCGACTCGAGAACCGTAAAACCGGATCTAAGATAGCGCTGCTGCTAAACGCGCGTTCCAACGGACGAGAGCCGATCGCCGGAGATCAAAGTGTTGATCCGCTTCGCGGTGACTTTACGATTTGACGCGCGGTGGCTGCGTTTATATTGATGGCAGTGCTCGCTTGTGCGAAGAACAGCTTGCGATTAGGTGACTGATCGCCGGTGGTCGTCGGAGAGCAGAAGACACTAAAGTCGGATACACAATATCGGTTCCATCACGGTTCGATCGAATACTCGATTCTTTATGAGGTGCGTACGGTAGAACCTTGATCAACCAGGTCGCTATTTTCAGTGATCTCAATCGTGTAAAAGTCTGGGTTATCCGAATCCTGTTTATCCGAACTGTTAGTCAATTAACATTAGAACTACCGAGCAATAAGACTGAGCTATTTATAATTTATTATAAAAATTGGGAAAGATCTCTTGAGACTCGAAGAGCTTCCTATTGCTGCTCTTGCACGAATGCAGTTTATTTTGAAATTTCTAACGAAAGCATCTTTATCATCTTAATAATCTGATCTAGGTAGAATAAAATTTGTGAAGAATTTCGAAACCTAGAAATATATAATTGAAGACAAATCCCAAGACCAAAATCTCTAGACCATTCCTATATAAATAGGACCACGGTGGCGTGAAAAACCGAACGCGACTGCACCTCGAACAGCTCGACAATGCGAAGTATAAATACGATCGAACCGATAATGTGGACCGAGCCTAAAGAAGACACCGGCGCACGATATCCGTAATAAGGGTCACGGTGGAAATTATTCTCCAGGGGAAATCGTGCCAAGTGTCACTTCTAGCCGGCAGCATGAATCTTGGGACGGGCTGCAGTTTCAACGACATTAGCCGGCATTCACGCTTAACGCGGACTGTTGACAGAGTCATTTATATCCGCCGGGTGAATCGGAACCTCCTGTGCGCCCGGTGAATACGGATTATCGGGCCGCTCGAACGAACCCGGGAATATGAATTAATATCACGAGCTGGGCCGGTCTTCAAAGAGCCCGCGGACCGCGTCCAGCGCATAAGGCTGCGTTTACATTACAGTTCCGATAAGAGAGCGTCGATACAGCCTCGCTAAAAGCTATTCAAAGTAGCTTTGTCCTTTTATTGATGCGGTGGACCTGCGACAATCGCATGGTTTCTCTTGGAAAATCCATATAAAGGTATGGACCTAATGTTACGGATGTATCATGGATGCGAATTATGGATAATGAACAGCTCAAAAAATGAATTGTTTCATTACGAAGTAGACAGGAACAAAGTATAGATGGTGAGATCGTTGTTTAATGTTTCCATAGGAAAACAAGGAAACATATTTCCACGATTCGTTCTCGAGTGCTGCAGCTGCGATGCGAACGCAGCATAATTCAGGTAACGCGAAGTCCTTCGAACGATGTCGAATGTAATTGAATAACTCGGGTTCCATGGCTCTGAGATTATTACAGCTATTTGTAACGTTCTTGTATAGTGCTAACGAAGCTGGTTCCGGTATTAAAAGTTCATTAGCTTTCTTATCTGCTCTGGTAAACGGGGCCCAAAGGACGATGAGAGGATTAATGGAAATCGGTTTTACAATTTGTCCCTTCTTCTTTTATTTTTGTTTAATAACGTGCTCGTCGTGTGTACGTTTAATTATGCAATGCCTGTTAATAATGTTCGTTATCCTGAAGCGATGTGACGGGTATGATATATTGAAGTGACCCACTTCGGAAGTAAAGACGAGAGTCGACGGTGATTCTGCTTTTAGGTTTGTGTCTCGTTCATGTGGCAAGCGTTACTATGGTAGACGGCTAGACCATAGTGTCTTCTTTCATGTAGATTAATGTTCTCTTAAATGAAGAGTAGATTCGATTGTACACATAGGGAATCAACTATGTATTTTTAGCTCTAAACGTCGTAAACACTTTAACTTGTGAATGATTCGATTGTGGATGTTCATTGCTCGAAGAAAAGTCTACTAAAAGGCTTCGGGCAACGATACGAACGATGAGGAAGCTCCGGTTAAGTACTCTCCGGATTAGCGAAAACGCGGCGCCCCGGATTAGCGTCTTCATTACGATCCTAATCAATTTTCCTCGGTGCAGTATCAAGATGTCTTACTGTAAAACCTTCCGCTCCCCGGATTAGTGTTTTCCAATATGGGGCGCTCTAAACCATGGAACACCGCGATACTTTGATCCTGTAATATTCGTCCTGGGAAAATAGATCCCAGCCCAGGACGAAAATATTTCGCGTAGAAAGGCCCGCCGGGTCGGGGATTATCTGCCCCTCGGCGTTATTACAAAAAAATCCCGAGCTCTTCTAACGACATTGTTGCGAACGACTCTTCTTGTCCCGCGAACATCAAACTCCGGGCTGTAAAGTTCACCGTAGAAGCACGCCTCGCGTCGAGGAATTTAATTTCACGCTACGCATCACGGTATCGCCGTTTATTTTCCGACGTCTCGCCAGAGTTTCACTTTCCTTATAAGATCTTTTCTATCAGGTGACTGGTTCCCTTTCGACGTTGCAAAGATGGAACAGATATTTCGATTATGACGAAGCAATGATAGAATGTGGCTGACAGTAGTGAAGTTCGTTCGCAACTATTTAGTTTCGTTATTCGGTAGTATCTCGTTTGTGGAACAACTTGGATATTTTATGTAAAGGAATATTCGAGGATTCCGATTGAGGATAAGCAGGACGATCTTTAAATTGCAGAACTAGAGAATCTTATTAGTCGAGAGACTTTTAGTTGCTAGGGTCAGAGGGAGGTATTGTTCAGTTAAGATCTTTCCTCGGATAAAATCAGATTACGTTAGATGTGCGTGGACAATGGACGAGTTCCATTATTGCCGAAGCATGGAGCGTCTGCGGTAACATTCGAGGGAGGAACCTTTCGCGTATAATTCGATATTGCCGGGTACTTCCGTTGGCTCTCGGAAATTAAAAATTTGAAACTTGGAACGTTGTCCCGCGCGTATATCGAGGAATGTAGGACGCCGTGCGTAGTCGAAGATAAAACACGGAAAGAACGTATTACTTCGACTTCGAGCGTGGGGCGGACGGGTTACAGGTTAAAAAATATACTTCGGCGGGAAGGGAATGTTTCCATTAAATTGATAAAGCAAACGGCAAAAGATAAAGCCGCGGACCCGGCAGTTCGAGGATGGCAAGAGAATCGTAAAATATGCGGACAGGAATGGCGTATCGATGTCGGGCATACTCGGGAACGAGGAGAAACGCGCGGCAAGCTCGAAAAGTCGGCGAAACCGACAATACGTTTCGCGTCGATCGCCTGAATAGAGAAGATTGTGAGAGCAGAATGGAATGTGCTTGGATTCCTAATATGGGATTCCGTTTAACGCGTGCTCCCTTCTTTTGTACCCCGCTGCCACCTCGTAAATAGAGGTGAAATGTATATGGATAACGAGGAGACGATCGTTTCGAAATCCTGGAGGATCGAGGCTACAGGAAGAATCGTCTCCTTTGCAATGCAAATCCTAAACGATCGTGGACGCTTTTTGAATTCGCTCGCACCAGACGGAAAGCTGTCCAATCTGGCCTTTGACAGGCTAAAAAAGGCCAAAACGCCGATTACATTTTAAAGAAAATTCACAATTTACACGGGGCAGGCACCTAACGTTCGCGAACAGTCGCAATATCGGTTCGCAAATATTCAATTAAATGATAAAAAGCAATTGCTCTAGATAGGAGACTTTCGTATGGATTCAAGGCAACGGATTTATACGAGAAGAAAGAATGGAACTATAAACCGTAGAAACAAACTTATACGCTTTATGGAGATAAGGATGATTGCCAAATGCGAAACAAAGCGGGTATAAAATTTAAAACAAACTCCGTTCGTTTTCTTTTCCGAGACGCAGCCTCCGAGGGATTTATTAGAACGGCAAGAGTCGAAGTTTCAACGTCCAATCTTTTCCGCCATTTCGATAAAATTCAACGGGACTCTTTCAATCGCGGCAGCGCACATCAGCTGCGCACATAAACATCGTTTATAAAATCCTCTCTTCTCTATCTCGCCGTTCCAATGTCGCGTACCGTGATATCGAAATATTTTTTGTCAGTCTCCCGAGAGTCTGAAATCAATCCGACCTTTCTTTCACGAATCCAGTCGAATAACCAGTGAACACGGAAACTTCCAATCCCTAAATTTCTAAAATGTCTAATTAATCTGAAAAAACTCTAAAACACTTGAATCCGTGAGTTCCTCCTAGTTGCAGCAACCGAACAAATAGTTTCGCAGTTGAAAATTCAAACAAACGAGAAACCAATGCAATGTCTCGACTTTGCTTCTAACGAACCACTTCCTTGTCATTTTAAATAGAAATTCATTGTCATTCGCGATGAAAATTCATCGACCTTTCCTACAAAGAACGTTCCACATTACGTTCCCGATCTCGTTAAGATCCCCCATTTTGTTAGCCATTTTACATATGGCGGACGCCGCACGCGATTTCAATTTGCAGATCGCAAATACGGAATAGGCAAGATGAAGTCGAGGGAATGAGGGAAAATAAGGCGGACGAACGAGGAAAAATTGAATGTTTCAAATTAGCAACCGGCGCTAACTTTTACGGCCAAGGTTACCGCTACGACAGGAATGAAATTAAAAACATTGTTATCGGGGCACGAGCGTGCGAAGGGATCGTAGGTGGAGGGAAAAAAAAGGAGCACGCATGCGCCGTGCAGGGCGGCGCGTTCGAGAATCGTGGCGGGCTGAGCGATCTTCATTCAGTTCACCGGCACTATTTGATCGCCACGGTTGTCGTTCTTCCGGAAATTTGGTCAGTCCACCGTCACGTGTCACTTGTAACCGTTACAATTTCAATTTTCCGCGTCGCGGTGTGTGAACGCGGTAAACGAAATCACCTAACGGTCATCGTGCAAACAGTGAACCTGTCCGTTTCGAAGGTCGATCTTCCTTTCGTTTGAGATACTTAGGAAATTTCTGAATACGTTCCTGTGAATGTACCAGTGTGAATAATAAAATACACTCACGGCGCGTGGTTGTGAAGTTTCGCTGACGACTGACAGGACACATAATGGGCCGCTGGAGGTTATGTCACGGCCCGGTCTTGTAAGCCTTCGTTCCTCTCGCGAAGACTGCACGATTTATGGTCACTGTCGGAGGACGAATACGGCGCAGGAATGTACAAAAAATCCGGTGCGAAATTTCGACGATTACGTCGCGGGACGATGAAGGAATCGAACGATCGGTATTCCCTTAATGTCGCGTGGAACGTGGAAAAGATTACTGGCACTACACCTGCATGGTAAACGACGCTGACGAAGCCCACTGCACACTGCGTCTCACTCGAATATCGACACATATCGATGTTTACTTTTTCGGTCTGAAAGTAACCTCGAAACGGTGCGACTACCACTATTCGATAAATCGAAGTCACTTAACGGTCAGTCTTTCGACGAAACAATGGAAAACCGTGTAATGGTTACTAACAAGCGGTTCGAGGGAATAGTGGCAGGGTATGGTGTAGACGTAATTAATCGTAGAATAATTAACGAAGAGGTAAGCGTTTCGTTCGCGTTAGCCGATCAATCAACGGCTAATGGTGGTATTTAATAAACAGCCGTTTGCAAACGATCAGCCGGATTCCAAGATCCATTATGGCGTGATTGTTTCGTTAGTGTTGGATATTAATTGGTCGTTTAGGCGTTAAGTATCGTACAAATAGAAACAAATTGAAACAAACTACCAGAAATGATCGTTTCACGTCTGACATTTGATTCTTGAAAGATTATTTATACTAAACGAATAATTACTTTTATTATCTCTGTCGAATTCTTAGTGAAATTTGTGTAGACAAGCGTGTATAGTAATTACATGGTGCTTGCGTGAACGCTCGATGAAAGTGGAAGTCAGACAAGGTTCTATTTCTAGAAATGAAAATTGGTAATGCCGAGGCGGTTGAGGCAGGTCGTTCGACGAGCACAATTCATAAACTCGTTGACGGCGCACGATCGTCCGGAACGAGGCGGAATTAGGTTTCGAATAGATTTCGATAAGACAGGAGTTAATTGGTGTTAACCGGCCGTGCCAAGGTAAATACTTGAGGTGCCGCGACCCACATACGGCGTTTATGAGTGATAGACGGGGGGATAGGCCGTACAAAGGAGGCAGGATAAAAATATTTATCTCCGGTACCAACCACCGTAATAAGAACCGATTCGCCGGTGAATTGAAAGCGCGCCGCTATTTTTACCGTTATATAGGTTATGTTTCAATTTTCGTTCGCGCGTTTAATCGTTCGCAGCGAACGGCGAGAGAGGATTGGTCACCCATTGATTCCGACGCGCACGGGCCACTCAATTAATTAACATTCCTCGCCACGTGTAAATAATAATGCTCGATTAATGCGCAACGGAAGGAAACACTCGAATTTTCATTGAAACGGTTATAAATAATATTGCAGACTAATTCACGGGAATTGAAAGGAAACAGAATTCCCGTCGAGCGATAATACTAATTAAAAGTAAATGTAGAAATTGCAGGAAGAATGATTTCCGACTGTTTTCACTTCAAATCTTGCAATTCTTAAAAAACCAGTTCGGAAGTTAGGTCGCAATGCACAATACCCTTAACGATTCCAACCGTGGAAACAAAAGGGGCTTTCCCGAGCGTAACGAACCTTCCAAATTCAAATCCCCGTGACCTCATAGTATACAAAAATATTCAAAGTTCAAATTCAAACGAAGCTTCGTACTTCATTTGAATCTATTTACATTAAATCCTGCAGTAAGCAAGATCAAATGAAAAATTAGAATTTTTCATTTTAAAATTATCCCATAACCACTCGAATCTGCCTAGAAGTCCACTGACCAACCCTTAACTCCCACCCCCAGAGCCACCAACAAACGATAAACGCCATTTTCACCGATGCCATACATCATTCTCATAGTCACAGCAAACCCTTTATCTCCAAAGGTCAAAGGAGACGCAAAGCTAACATAAAACACATATACAACCCTTGCCTCCAGACTAGCTAGCCACCCAAGACACTGACTCGTCAAGAGCTCGCCGGCAAATCTCGCGAAAAGATCAAGAAACGACCCGACGCGTCGAACTGAATTACCCTGGAGCCGTGGGTGGACTAATTACCGGTTCGGATGTAGCCGCCACCCTCGTCAGCGACTGGACGCCCCTCGGAACCGAGAAGATCGGTTGATAATGTCCCTAAACACGGCGGCGTCATCGATAGCCCACGCTGTCGACGTTGACCCTAAGTTGAAAGTATCCGGGACCGGTCTCGCAGGTTCCGGTTCACCGTTCCCAATGGATTTTCCCCGTGAACCAATCGCGAACGTGTCCGAAACGTTGCGAATCCGCGTCGACTCGAACTTGAAGCTGCCCACGTAAAGCCCAGCGCTCGTGAGAGTGGCCGAAAGGTAGCCGAGTGCTCGCGGTTAAACATGTAAACGCGTCGAGAGCCGGGAAAGCGGACGTCCACCGAGAAAACATTGAATCGAGCGGTCGTTGATCGGGAAAACTGACTCGCGAGTGCTCGAACCGCGTGAACCGGTCTAGGCCAGGCTACAGGTCCGCCGGAGGCATTCCAGCGCAACGGGTTAAAGGGGACAAGATGGACAATTGATACGGAGCAGCCAGTTTGCAATAGAGAGCCGGGATACGGGATCGGGGAACGAGGATCCCTGACCGCCCGCCATCCAAGGGGCGAAAATGTTGTCCACGGTGTCCAGTGTCCCGCTCGAATTGAATTCTTCGTTCTACGCGACCGTCATCGGAAACGATGCCCACGATCCTCTGGCCGGTACGTGTCGACGTGACGCCACGTTTCGGGGTTTAACCCTTTGCACTCGAGAATATTTTTCTCAATGAATATTCATTGCTTTCTGATGAAATATCAATGGTACGTTTTACGACTAACGTAAAGAAACACCCTGCATAAATTAAGTAACAGAACTATTTTATTTCGATGTTCCATGTGTTGATGCGTTATATGGAAATTTAATATTGAATTCTAAATTTTATCAGTTTCATGGGTCAAATGGCGACTGAAAGATGCCTCTCGAGTGCAATGGCGAGTTCCCGCGCGAACGCGTTCGCCACCCTCTTAACCCCTTGTCTTAGGATTATTTCTCAACTATGGTCGATACAACTGTCTTGTAATTAATAATTCGTTAACGCATTGCTGCAAACGGTTAAATGGGCAATGGGTTAAAAAAGAACAGATCTAAAATTTGCTTCAAAGTATAATAATTGATGATAGAAGAATAATATTAAATTTGAATTGAAAGGGATCGAGTAACGTTCATGGTTGTTCGATGCCGTTTAAAGTCTACACTGCGTGTCTGACACGTTATTGTAAGGCAAGGGGTTAATGAGAAATAAACAGTATTCGATTCACCTGACGAAATTCATTTGATGGAGCACGGTGGATCGTTTGTTTGCGCAATTGTTGTTGTGTTGTTTCGGTTTTCAATCTTGGGATGCTGCCTTTTTAGAGATAATTGCATCGGTACTCTTTAGCGGTGTAGAGCGAAGCAAGATATTGGATTCGTTTGACGAATGACTATCCGCGGCTACCTTCAGATTAATTTGATAAAGTACGGATCGTTTTCATTCTCAATATTGCGGCTTTGTAGTCTTGTCAACACTGGAACTACCGAGCATTTAATTCAGCTGATACGGTAGTTCTAATATTAAATCTTAACATATGTTTCCATAGCGCCATTGTTTCTCTCTGAAGTTTTTGTCTTCGATATATTAAAATCCTTACTTTCTCAAAGATGTTTTTATATTTGAGAAGCGCTTAATGATTACTATTTCTCCAACCTGAGAAGAGAAAAAGTGAATTCTTGGTAGTATACGTGTTGCTACTGTTCCGATGACGTCAGAGTTTTATGAATGAACCAAAGACCATAGTAGGATTGAACACTGCCCACGCTCGGCCCCGTATGTTTCCACTGCAATATTGAATCGGAATTTGATATGCTTCTCTTTTTTATCTTATCGACTGCACGACGTGGGGTAAAGCGAGTCAATGAATTGCCGAATTGTATTCGATCGTGCATATACTCGAATAGGACCAATTGTTCCGTTCGGGCGGAACAACGCGTTTCCGGAAAATAACGTTCCGCCCGTACGGTGCACGGGGTTGTATCGGTTACGCTAGTTTCATTGAGGTCCTGTTTTGCAAAGGTTCGCGTTACACTGTGCAGGCCGTGCCCATTTCCCTGTGAAACCCATAAAATCGATAATATTTCTTGCACCGTTGGCGTTAATGGGAAACATTCGCGATTAATCAATGGACATAACGGCGTTCGCGCGCTCCTTTTTTTTTCACTCCGTACACGGTTTTAACGGGGCCGAGGTTGGCAGAAATAAATCACTGCTTTGTTTTTATCGTCCGAAGCGCGCGGGGGCAATGAAATAAATGGTGGAAAATGCTTTTGTTCCAGTGATCGAGTCCGAAAATGCGACCACGGTGCTCTACATGCTGCCCGCTTACATTCGCACGACCTCCATGGTCGTCTGCATTATAGTGATGGTGCTTGGCATAATAGGGAATCTTATGGTGAGCCCTGTAATCGATAACAATTAATAACTGTACCAATCATCCGTAATAATCAATTTGAAAGTCTTCCTCTAATTTATCTACTCGTGTATCCATCTATTTATCTATCCCATCTTTTCTAAATATCTTTCTTAAAAATCTCTGAAAAATATAGTTCTACGTGTTACAAAATTGTCTCTAATTGCAACTAGTAGTACTATGAATATCACGAAAATATTAAAAATATTAAAATTCATAATTCTGAATTGCCACCTAGAAGTACCAAGATTTATTATGTGATCATTGAACAATCTTCCAATTTAAATAATATATTACTGTTATATAATATTGTTAAAACGTCTCAATACATTTCTACGCCTCTTCTACACGCTTCTATTACGTGGCCCACGAATTTCCCAGTTTTCCCAAGAGACAATTAACCGCGTCGGCTGTTGCGACTGCGAATTAAGAATAAAGAGCCGCAACTTCTCTTGAAATCGGATCTTCTCCGCGCAGCAAGGTTGACCATCATAACGCGGACGATTTTTCACGTCCTCAGGTACCGTTGGTCGTATTCCGGGCTAAGGACATGCGGAACAGCACGAACATCTTCCTGGTGAATCTGAGCGTGGCCGACCTCTGCGTCCTTCTGATATGCACCCCCACCGTCCTCGTCGAGGTCAACTCCGGTCCACAAGTATGGCCGCTCGGGGAACACATGTGTGAGTCACGACACCTGAAATCACGTTGCATGCCTTTCTGTACAGAGTAATCCAGACTGGAATGGATTTTACCATAAAAACACTCCAGGCCTCGGAAAAGCGAATGTTTAATCTCTTTAGATAATGCGCAGTATTAACGCTAGATTTACGGAGCTCTTTGATGGATATCGAATGCTTTAAACATCATTTGGTAACGGTTTAAGTTGATTTTGATGACATTATAATTCTCTATCCTTGACACATTATTTGGAGAACAACGTGTAGAATAAATGTCCGTACATCTAGCGTTAACACCTTGCCTTTTTAATGTCTCTTCTCAACTAATGTTACACAAATTTTAATCCCTTTTATTACTAATTTCTCAGCAGGAAAGACAACTATATTATATCCAACGGAAAGGACTATTTTCTTAAAAGATCTAATAAGCAAAATATTTCATTCTTTCACTCATTCTCTCATGAGTTTTCATTAACACTAGACTCACCGGACGAGTCAAAATGACCGGTTCCTGGTTTCGTTTGTTACAATTATTAAACAATCTATGCTTCTCTGGGAAGTTACTAAGGAAATCAATTCAGTAACGCGCAAACTGATATGTAAATAATTTGAAACTTCATGCATTCTTCGAGTTCTTAGAAAGTTATTTAAATTGTTGATCGTTTACAGTGTAATTGTCTTTGATAAAGTCACATTACTGAACGGACTCCGCCAAAATTATCATGATAGCCTGTACACACAGGGCTTCCGTTGTTTACACGCGTTCTCCGTCACCCGTTCGCACAGACGAGCAATCACCCAGACGCTCTCTGCGAGTTTTGATTGATAAATTGCAGCGACACGTCTTAAATTACCAATAGGAAGTCGCAGTCCAACTAGTGCGGTGAACGAAGCGAGCCCTCTCGTTGCATGCCATGGTTCTGTAATGCTCCACGATCGGGCCATTCGGCTCGCTGGAAACGGCGACGAACGATACCGTTTTTTTCTCATAATCGATACTTTAACTCAGCCGATATCGAGTGTTTATCTAAGCGACGTTGCACAGGCAAATAACATAGTTGTTTACTTGAAAAACGTTGCAAATATCGGCTCGGAATCGAAGGACCTTCGGCTGATTCTCTCTTTTCCCTTGTTGACGCCAGGATTTCCGATTGTTAACGGGAAACTGTTTTTATCCGGGAACAAAGATATTGTTGCCAATGTTGAAGTTGGAAGGGAGTGGATATTTCGTTGTAATAGTGCGTATTGCTTGAGTCGTTCAGAAGTTAATACGGTTGAGTTGAATTTTATAATATCGAAACTACAGAACTAATTATTTTACCCTTCAAGAAATTATTATCGTTGCACTGGTAACTGAAATGCTACCGAGGTCTATCTACAATATCTTGTCGACAATATATACACATTCATTATTAAATTGAGTTGCCTCAAACATAATGGAAGTGACATAAAACTGAATTGAAAGGCTTTTAGAAAGCTCATTTCATAAAACTACATCTAAACGATTAGAGCATAGTTCCGCGTTCCTCCAAACAAACTCTAATCTACGAGTGCCTTTATCATCTATCTATTTTGCCCAGGCAAATCGATATTCGCTTTGTCCTCGATTTAATTTCCACCGGCCCGCCGTAGTCGCACGGTGTGGGCGATTAATCGTCCCCGACTAGTAACCGATGCACCTATAATCAGTTTAATATTTACGGTTCATAATGACCGGTATAAATACAACAGACACCACATTCATTGAGATGCATAACATCGATAGCGATCTCGCAAATCGACGCTGTAGCGACGAAAATACTCGTCGAACGTTCAGATTAAGAGAACCATCCACCGATTCATCGACTAATCCTTCAAAGACAAATATCATATCACTAATTTCAAATGAATAACCTATATCTATGTTCTTACAACTTAATCTGAGAAATTGCAATTCCAAGAAGAAAGAATTACGTATTCGCGTAGCGCGTCAATCAAAGTCGACCTAATCTCCGACGAAACGACCGCCGCGAAGTCCAATATCCGTCACGTTCGTAAATCGACTGGTAAAAAATCTTCGCCTGCAAGGGGTTAATTCGCTTTGAGTGCGCCGTCCCGGCGATCTGGCGGCGGACTCGGTTAGCCACTTCAATCGCGCTCGCATTCCGTTCGAGTGGATAGCGGAGAATCTATGCCGGTTTTAATTTCGATCTGACACCGCGTCGCGTATATCCGGTGTCGCGGTCTCGTTGCCTGGACGGCGTCCAAGAAAGTGTAACCGTTCGAAAGCGTTTTACCGTTCGCGGAGAAACACGGCGGCGGAGGTCCCGTGACCTCGTGACACGCCAAATTCTATCGCGGGAGCTTCTCCTTATCTTGTTATCGTCGGTGCCGCGCAAAACCGGCCACTCGGAGGAATTGCGCGAGAGCCGCGCGGAAGCTCGCCGCTGGATATTCGGCGACAGAGCGTAAGGATTCCGTCCGGGATTTTTATTTGTTGCGTGAGCTTCTGTTAGACGCTCTTCGAAATGGATGGTGTCTTTAAGCCGCGGACTGAGACGAACGGGTTTATTCGCCGCTCGTAACTTATCCGCGCTCTCGGATTATCGTTGGCCCGTAAATCAGATCGTTTTTGAGTTTAATGTACGGTGAAATCACTTTTATGTTCCTTGGGCTGGCCAGACTGAATGAACTAGGAAGTAAACGTTTCTGAAATGTATATTAAATCGTGTTAAACGAGTCGCGCAGAAGCCAGTGTCGACTTCTTGATACTTTCTGATTTTTCTCAGTTTCAATGGGATAGATGACATTCTTTGTAATTGGTGAAGGATGCACTGGTTTCTTCGTCTTTTTCTAGGACAGGAAAGATAGCTTAAGGAACATGAATTTTCTCAATGGTTGTTTCATCGACTTAACATCGGCTTCCGAGAGAGCCAAATGTGTATTTAACTTTCGAAGTTGACGGTAGTGGATGGATTGAAACTGATTTCGATAGTCTGAGGATCGTTCGTACTTCATCGTAGATTAATTCGATCGCGATGGTAGAATTGCGAATGATTGGAAGCGGAATTACACCCTCATTGTCGATCAATCAACAGCTTACGGAATTCTTTGCGTTCGGACAATATTATTGTTGATTGTGGAAGCTCAATGTCAACTCTGATTAACTTTATTCTCTGCAGCCGAGGTAACGATCCACCGAACCACCCTCGGCACTATTTATATGCGAATGTTATTCCTTAATTTCTGTTCACGTTCAATTGCCCTGTTTTGTCAGCGAATTCTCGCCACAAGCGGCTTAAATACGCTCGCAGAAGCTCAACTATCCGTCAATTATTCTTCAAACGAAGCACGCGTGCAGAGCAACAGCGAAGTTTCAAGAAAATTGTCTCGTTGATTGGACGCATCGCGGCGATGCGATAATTGTACAAGATTTCCACGCGATTCGAGCAATGTAGGGAAAAATTGCAGAAGCTTTGACGCTGCTGTCGTCAACCCTCGCATTCGCTTGACGAGCGACATTTGAATTTTCCGTCCGCCCACGGTCGTATTAGATTCCACAACGAAATTTAATTAATGGAACGCCGAACGCCTCCGGTTCCGTCATTTTTTACGACTTTCAGAGGCCGAGTTGATCAACGGAAAATACGAAGTCTGCGAGTCGTTTCTCTCCTTTACCGGATTTATACGCGTGATTGCGCGAAAAGCACGGTCCGCAAGTCGGCAATGGGTTTTTAAAGCACCGCGGCTCGTCCAGGGGAGGTCGTAATTAATTACGCTGCCGTGACAACGGTTACTCTCATCTCTAAGGGAATTTCAGCTTGCATTGCTGTCGGATGACCCGTTAAACTTTTAAAGCTCCCGCGAGCTAAAGACCTAGGCCATAGAAGGACGCGTGAAATTCGCGAAATACGCTGTTGTCGACCGGACAACCGGATCGACAGACTCTAAAGCCGTAATATAAGCTTCGCAAAGTTCGCAAACTGAAGAGAATTGAATCGTTTAAATTCGAACTATTTCTGCAACGAAGTATTCTCCGAATCAGTAGTTCATAAGACAAACTTAGTGTAGACGATGGCTCGATTCTTATTAACTGAGCTTGATTGTTTGTTAAGAACGGAGTACGATTCTTCCCGGAGATTTACCGGTAAGCAATAATACTGTCACAGCAACGCGCACAGCGAAATCTTCCGAAACAATTTGGCCGGTCGTAAATAAGCCGCGGAACTTCACGCAGACTCGCAATCTCCTGAGGTGACTTATGAGGACAGGTGTTAAACAGAACTGTGTGTCTTGTATTAAGGATTCTACGAAAGCAGAGAACAAATATTTGCGTAGCTTACTGCTCGTTGCACATTCTCTGCGGTATCCAACGATCGCAGAAAGTACCATTTTGCTTCTGTGCACATCGAACTCAACGCAAACGAATAATTACGACGAATATCGTCTGTTCTATTAGAAGATCACTAAAGGTAGAATATAATTGTTGCAAAGATAGTTACGAGATGAATCGCGAAGCAAGATACTGTGCCAATCCAGCCTGAGAAGTGGCAATAAGGGATGAATAAAGAATAGGGAGGAAAGTTTCCGGGTTCTGCGTAGAACCCGCAGGATTCGCTCGCGTTGCGTCATGCAATATTTTTAAAACAGCACCTCCGATGTTACGACCGGTAGAATGTGTTCCACTTTTCTGCTCCATCTCGTTGTTACCGTCATAGCGAAGTGCATGTCGTGTGAAAAGGCAATTTCTAATGCGTTGCGCAACGCAGATATTTTGAACGGTATTTTACGTGTCTCGCCCCGGACGTTCATATCACAGCCAGAGCTGCTGGATAAATCATGAGCTTCGAACGGGAAGTGGTACCTGTCCCTCGGTTATATAAACCAAATTATTTCTACACGACGAGACATCGGGTTTCAAAGATAATTGCATTCTTCGACTAATACAGAGTTTTGGAAACTGTAGATTTCCGAACTATGAACTTGAAAGCTATAATCTTTGAAACTATTATAAGCTACAATTC